TTTAGGAAATGTTTCCCTGGGTGTTCTCCCTCTTATCATAACTAGCTCAGACATTCTGTCTTTTAGCTTAGAGCAGGTCTACACTTAAACTGCTGTCCCGCACCCCGTAGTGCTTTAATGAAGACGCTCTATGCTGACGGGAGAAAGCTCTCCTGTTGGCTTACTTAATCCACCTCCATGAAAGGCGGTAACGATGTTGGCAGGAGAAGCTCTCCTGCCAACAGAGTACCGTCTACACCGGCGATTAGGTTGGTATATAACTCAGGGCATGAAATATTCACACCCCAGGACAATGTAGTTACACCGAAGTCATTCTGTAGTGTATAGACTTGCCCTTATTGACCCATTTACTTATTTTAGCCCAGACAGTCAGTTTTCAGTCTACTGATCTATTTACCTCCCTAATCCTGTCTTCCAAAAATTAAAGCCTCCCTAATGACTCATGTTCAAGCCAGGTCTACAGGAGTAACTAACCACTGGCGCAATTCACTGGCGGATTCTCCACCAATGAGAATTTTAAAATCAAGACTGGAGGTTTTTGCTAAAAGATCTGCTCTAGGAATTCTTTGGGGGAAGTTCTCTGGCTGGTGCAATACAGGAGGTCAGATGAGATGATTACAATGGTCTCTCCTGGCCTTGGAAACTATGAACCCCACTACCCAAGTCCAGGGCGTAATTTGTGCCAGGGCTGAGCCCCAGCACCTCCAGGCCTGGCAGTTCAGAGCCCCGGCACTTCTGGGCCTGCCGTGTCAGTAATTAAAGTAAAAACATTTGCTTGAACCCCGGCACCTCTTTCATTACAAAATTAAGCACTGCCCAAGCCCCCCACATCCATGCCCCTCAGTCACATACGCGTGGAGGGGCTATGGGGCGGTGAGGAGGCGGTGGGGTTGTGAGGGATGCCTGGAGGCCATAAAGGGGAGGAGAATGGAGATTCAGAGTCCACAGCCTACACCCAGATCACAGAGGGTTCCTGGGGATCTGGAGCACTCCAGATTTAGGCACCCAAGTGGCAATTTTAAGCGCCACTGTGATCCACCAAACCCCCACCTGGCTGCCAACTAACACACACCTAAACTCACCGGGCACTGAAAGTTTTGCTGTAAAAGTGCACTGGGTATGCACACTGCTGCCTCAGGCAAGCCCCAGGTGCTGGTCTCACACCTAAGCCTCAATACAATCTCCCAACCAGCCAAAGATAGCTGGGGTCCTCCCGGCTCAGTTGTATAGACTCTGATTTCTAAGCCCTAAAGTTCAAGGCGTTGATCAACTCTCTGTGTCCAGCATTAAACAGCAATAGGTAGGTTCGGGGACAGTTTTAAACAGAGCCCTTGGTTTCACTCGGTGACTTGGCCAACACCTTCCATTCAAACTGAAAGTTTATTGATTAAACACAAGAAAAGAACAAGAAATCAAAATAGGCCAAAATCAAAGGCTATCAGCCAGGATGGGCAGGGATGGTGTCTCTCGCCTGTTGGCCAGAAGCTGGGAATGAGCAACAGGGGATGGATCGCTTGATGATTCCCTGTTCTGTTCATTCCCTCTGGGGCACCTGGCATTGGCCACTGTCAGAAGACAGGACACTGGGCTAGATGGACCTTTGGTCTGACCCAGTATGGCCGCTCTTATGTATGGCCTTTATCTGGAAACGGCAGTCGAGTGATTATGCAAAACAAACGTAGAGCTTATCGAAGGCTCTCTGCTTTTGGAGTCAAAATCTTAGAGTCTCTTGTTTTCAGGGCAACCCTTCTTTGCTGAAAAGGAGATGGTTAATTTTAGTCTCAGTCCTGATGGGAATGGCATGCATGTATCCTGTTCTGAACAGAGACAGACAGGGTGGAGGAGAGACAGGACAGAGAAGATGGGTGAAATATGGCTTTTGTGGATGTTTTTGGACTACTGGTTAGTTACAAGTGGATGCTTGATCTGGTTAGTTATGAACTGGTCAGGGCTGTCATCTGATGGCATCCTTTCTCCTTTGACAAGGCAGGTTTGGATGATTGCAATATACTTGACTTCAGGATTTGACAAGAAACCAAGAGAGCGAGGTAGGATGAGAGGAAAGAAACAGTGGGGCAGAAAATAACACAACAAGGGAAGGGAATACAATACAGGATCTCATGCACCTTCCTGGTGCTGGTAATTCCATCTCCCCACTGGTGGGCTGAGATCCGGACCTCACGATAATGTGATGACTTTCACTCACAGGTGAAAATAAAGTTCCCTAAACAAGAGCAAGTCCTTTAGACGAGTCGAGATGGGATGAAGTGCTGGCAGGTCGGGGGATGAGCTGGGGGAAGATGACATGAGGCGAAGCAAGCTGGGACGGGAGAAGAGAGCTGATCTTATTTCCAGTCTCTTTTTAAGATACCACAGAAGGGAAAAAAGTAAGAGGCAGGGTTCATCTCCCTCATTATTTTGTCCACCAATTAGGCCTAATATCTGTCTCACCAATTTTGGCTTATTAACTTCCATCTCCACCTCTCCTGTTTTCACCCAGCATAATTTCAACACAGGCTTTGTATCGCATCAACTTTCCCTGTGTTGATTGGACTTAGTCTCTCTGGATGCTTCTTTTGCATCTGTTTAGAATGAATTCTGTTGAAAATAACTTGACCTACTTTCCATGGTGAACTCCTAAGTAGGCAAGAGTGATAGGCCAATTGTCACAACAGCCGTATTCATGATCAGATCTCCCCTAACTGCACCCAGAACAGCTGTTGCGAGGGGCACGACTCTCTTATAACTTTCAGCCTAGTGGTTAGAGCAGTTACCTAGGATGTGGGAGACCCCAGGCCAATTCCCCCCTCTGCCTGGGTGGGAAAAAGGGATTTGAATAGGGATCTCCCACCTTTCAGTACAGCTACCCCTAACACAGTGAGTTAGTGCAGATAATTCCCCCTGGATGCTGCCAGCTCCAGGGGGGCAGAGCTAAGGTTGCTTGGGCGTGTACCTTAACTCTGTATTGCCTGGTTTCAGAAGGATTTCCCCCCCCTGGACTCTGCCTTCTGGAAGGGCACGAGTTATCACCAGGCAGCCTTAGTCCTGTGTTAACAAAGTTTTTTGTCAGTGAATTTCCTAGCTTTTTGAACAGAAAGAGAAATATTGGAGGAGCGGTCATTTAGCGTGTTGATGTTCGCACCGATATTAACAGCAGATATGTTGCCGTTGCTAGAGAAGCACAAAAAGACCCAGCTTTTAAACAGTGCTTTACATCAGCAAACCCCAAAGAATGACCCCATTTTACAGATGGGAAACTGAGGCATGGGGAGCTGATGGGCCTTGCCCAAGGTCACCTAGCGGGCCAGGGCAGACCCAGGAATAGTCCCAGCCCGCTGGTTTCTCCACTAGGCCACATGGTCATGATGTGATTCCCAACTGCTCCGTGCATTTTGTGATAGTGGACTAGGGATAATGTTCATGCTTTGAAATACTTGGAGTGCGTTATTGCAAACAGGGCTGGGGAGAGAAATCTCAGACATGACCTCAGTCCCCAAATCTTGGCCGCTTTATGACATGCCTCTGACGGTAACTTTAAGCATGTGAGAAAAGGCTACTGTGTCTCTCCGCCTCAAGCAACATACAGATGCCCCCCCCACACGCACACTGTTTCTAGCTCATTCTCCCCTGCCTGTCCCATTAAGCCATTAGTAGATAAGAAGCTACGCGTGCACTAAAATGGTGGGTAGCATAGGTGGTGGGCATAATAGGCCTCCCCTGGGGCAGCCACTGCCGCCCTTCCACCTGGACCGTGGGGGCCCCGCCTGTGCTCCGCCTCTTTCCATCACTGCTCCGCCCCTTCTTCAAGGTCCCCACCCCCTCCGCTGCGGGGCTGACTCCCACCTCTCCTCCACCCCCCGACCCTCCCCACACAAGGCCCCCATGGCCCATGGACAAGGCCCCTAATCCCATGAGTAGGGGCACGGAGAGGGGTTCAGGCACCCCCAAGAGACAGCCCTCGCCCCAGATCCCATCTTATATATGTGGGGCAGGGATGGGGGCAGAGACATCCCCAGAGGCACAAGGGTCACGTGAGGCGGAGCATGGGGTGGAAATCAGACCGACCCCCTAGGGGGACAGGGAACCCCACATCCCTGCCCACATCCAAAGGTAGGGAGCGGGGATCAGACCCCTCCATTCCCCCTCACCCGCCAAGAAAGGCAGCCCCTATAGATCACAACACACATAGGAAGAGAGAATTTGATGCTGACAGACACCCCTGACTCTATTTCCCCCAACCCTCTCATTTCCCTCCCATATCCCCCTTCCCCTTCCCAGCTCTACCTCCCCCTGGCCCTTCTCCCCATCCCTACCACTCATCCTCATTTCTCCTCTCCCATAATCCCCCCCACACCCCCATGCTGCAGCACTGAGCTATCAAACATCTTCATCAAACACACCCAGTCCACCGGGAACCGCTGCACCAGCCTGTGGCCTCAGTCAATGGCGTCATCCCAGACGTCGTGTAGTGAAGTTCCCAAATCTGGCTCAATCCTGCAAAGCAGCCAATGTCCGGGATGGCCTCGGGGGCAGCACCGGGGAGGGTCAGGGCACACACCCTGCTGGGGCTTTTTTGTCCATAGCGGCAAGATGGCCAAAGGGCACACCGTGCCACTTTTCAATAGAACGAATGGTGGATAGAAGGCCAGATCAGTGTGGGATTGTCATGTTTTGCACAAAGTCAAGCCACTTTATGCCTTTCTCCCCCATCCCTCTCCACTCAAAAATTCTCCTCCCCTGCCAGCAAGCATTCATATGTCTAATTTCTTCCCCCGCCCCCAACAAAAAAAATACTATTGATTGCATTCCCCCATCCCCATAACATTTTCCCTTCTCAGGACATCGAGGAAGTTTCTTCCCTGTATGGATTTGCTGATTCCAAACTAAACCAAACCCCCGACTGCAACCGCTCCCGCATTCAAGATTTCAATCTCGTGTGGACTTTCTGATGTTTAATCAGATGCGAGTTCTGACTAAAGCTTCTCCCACAGTCGAGGCATTTATAGGGTCTTTCCCCCGTGTGTATTCTCCGGTGCGTAACTAGGTTGGAGCTCAGATTGAAGCTTTTCCCACAATCCAGGCATTTATAGGGTCTCTCTCCCGTGTGGGTTCTCTGGTGTCGAATACAGGTTGAGCTGTCACTAAACCCTTTCCCGCATTCCGGGCATTTATAGGGTTTCTGCCCTGAATGGATTCTTCGATGCTTAATCAGGGCTGAGTTGTCGCTGAACATTTTCCCACATTCTGGGCATTGACAGTTTTTTTCTCCCGTGTGGATTTTTTGGTGCGTCGTCAGGTTTGAGCTCTGAATGAAACTCTTCCCACATTTGGTGCATTTGTGGGGTTTGTCTCCCGTGTGGATTCTCTGATGCACGACGAGGCTCGAGCTCCGATTGAAACTTTTCCCGCAGTCAAGGCATTTGTAGGGCCTCTCTCCCGTGTGTGTTCGTTGGTGCAGAATAAGGTTGGAGCTCTGATTGAAACTTTTCCCGCACTCCTGGCATTTATAGGGCTTCTCTCCCTGGTGGGGGGTCTGAGATCCACCAAGCTGTTTGCTCATATTGAATCGTCTCTCGCATTCGGTGGGTGGTTTTTTTTTCTCTCTTGTATGGGTTCTCTGCTGCACTGAGGTTTCCAGGATGTCCTTTCCACCTCTACTAGAACTAATGGATTGACACCCTTTCTTCCCTGGCTGCTTTCCTGACCTGTGCTGACTCTCAGAGGCTTTTCCCTGCTCAAGACTTGATGCAATGTCTTCTTTGGAGCATCTGGATGATGCCCCATGGGGTTCTGGCTCCTTACAGCCTGCCTGCCGTGGATTCTCTTCCTCATCCTCTTTCACCATCCTGTCGCCTGCTGGAGTAAAGAGAGAGAACCCGGACAGGAGTCATCCCCTCTGCCGGGATGAAAGGAAAGAAAGGGGCATAGCAAAGAGGAGAGACACAGCACAGTAATGGTTGGGGAGACTGAGAAAGGTAAAAAAATTGACCTATGTGTAAATTTTCCTTCTCTGAAGTGTAAAGAGGGCACATGGAGCTCTCTGATTCATTACAGCCAGGATATTCCTCCTCGTCTTTCAAACATGGAGTGTCCTCTGTCCCCTCCCCACAAATCCACCCCATTATTTCTCTCTAGCTTCACAATATAGTGTCTGCAGGTGTGTGTGTGTGTGTGTAAGTAACAGAAATGAAGGCTTATCCCACCTACCAGGGATGGTCTAGGTTTACTTGGTCCTGCCTCAGGACAGGGGGCTGGACCTGATGACTTCTCGAGGTCTCCTCCAGCCCTACATTTCTCTGATTCCTTCCAGCAGCGGTGAGGCACTGGGGAGCTATAGAAGCAGTCAGTTCTCTGAACAGCGCTGCCTCATGACACTGCAGTGTGAAGCTAGTGAGAGAGATGAATAACACAGCAATGAAAAGAGAAGCCTGCATGCCTGGAAGAGGAAGTGGAATAACCCAGTGGTAACAGATCACGGAACAGCAGGTGCACACAAGGGAGAAATAGGATTCTGTCATGCACACGCTCAGGGGGAAGTAAATTGGGGGAGGGAGATCCTGCCAGCTGTCCTTTAGGATGGGTGAGGCGCTGCGAGTGTCATGGGGCATGGGTAAGGCCCTACCAAATTCACGGTCCATTTGGTCATTTTAACGGTCATAGGATTTTTAAAATGGTAAATGTCATGATTTCAGCTATTTAAATCTGAAATTTCACGGTGCTGCAATTGTAGGGGTCCTGACCCCAAAAGGAGCAGTGAGGAGGATGGAAGGTTATTGTAGGGGGGGTTGCGGTGCTGCTACCCGTACTTCTGTGCGGCTGCTGACGGTAGCGCAGACTTCAGAGCTGGGTGCCCAGCGAACAACTGACACTCTCCAGCCACGCAGCTCTGAAGGCGTGCAGAAGTAAGGGTGGCAGAACTGCAGAGTCTCAATGCATGGATGAGATGGATGGTGTAGGGAGGAGGGGTTTAGATTTATTAGGAAATGGGGAAACTTTGGGGAAAGGGGGAGCCTATACCGGAAGGATGGGCTCCACCTAAACCCAAATGGAACCAGATTGCTGGCACTTAACATTAAAAAGGTCTTAGAACAGTTTTTAAACTAAGGGCTGGGGAAAAGCCAACAGGTGCGGAGGAGCACATGGTTCGGACAACCCTTAGGGGAGGATCTACTCATAGAGGCTCTCTATGCCCTAGTGAGGACGAGAGGATGGAAAGTGATAAAATACAGGTAGGGTCTGATCAGAAACAGTCAAATAAAAAAGAGTCCCATTCAATTACAATGTGTAATGGCAGACAGCTAAAAGGAGACAAGTTTTTAAAGTGCTTATATACCAACGCTAGAAGTCTAAATAAGATGGGTGAACTAGAGTGCCTCGTATTAAGTGAGGATATTGATCTAATAGGCATCACAGAAACTTGGTGGAATGAGGATAATCAATGGGATACAGGAATACCAGGGCACAAAATATATTGGAAGGACAGAACAGGTCGTCCTGGTGGGGGAGTGGCATTATATGTGAAAGAAAGCATAGAATCAAATGAAGTAAAAATTGTAAATGAATGAAACTGTACCATAGAATCTCTATGGATAGAAATTCCATGCTCGAATAATAAGAATATAGCAGTAGGGCTATATTACTGACCACCTGACCAGGATGGTGATAGTGACTGTGAAATGCTCAGGGAGATTAGAGAGGCTATTAAAATAAAAAACTCAATAATAATAATGGGGGATTTCAATTATCCCCATATTGACTGGGTACATGTCACCTCAGGGAGCAGAGAGAAAGTTTCTTGACACCTTCAAGGACTGCTTCTTGGAGCAGCTGGTCCTGGAACCCACCAGAGGAGAGGCAATTCTTGATTTAGTCCTAGAGCTTAAGATCTGGTCCAAGAGGTGAATATAGCTGGACTGCTTCGTAATAGTGACCATAATATAATTAAATTTAATATCCCTGGGGCAGGAAAAACACCACAGCAGCCCAACACTGTAGCATTTAATTTAAGAAAGGGGAACTACACAAAAATGAGAAGGTTAGTTAAACAGAAATTAACGGGGCACAGCACCAAACGTGAAATCTCTGCAAGCTGCGTGGAAACTTTTTAAAGACGCCATAATAGAGGCTCAAAGTAAATGTATACCCCAAATTAGAAAACATAAAAAGAGAACCAAACAAGAGCCACCATGGCTAAACAACAAAGTAAAAGAAGGAGTGAGAGGCAAAAAGGCATTCTTTAAAATGTGGAAGTTAACTCTTAGTGGGGGAAATAAAAGGAGCATAAACACTGGCAAATGAAGTGTAAAAATAGAATTAAGAAGGCCAGACAAGAATTTGAGGAACAGTTAGCCAAAGACTGAAAAATAATAGAAACATTTTTTTTTAAGTACATGAGAAGCCGGAAGCCTGCTAAACCACCGGTGGGGCCGCTGGACGTTCAAGATGCTAAAGGAGCATTCAAGGACGATACGGCCATTGCAGAGAAACTAAATGAATTCTTTGCATGGGTCTTCACGGCAGAAGAGGTGAGGGAGATTCCCAAACCTGAGCCATTCTTTTTAGGTGACAGATCTGAGGAACTGTCCCAGATTGAGGTGTCATTAGAGGAAGTTTGGGAACAAATTGATCAATTAAACAGCAATAAGTCACCGGGACCAGATGGGATTCCCCCAGGTGTTCTGAAGGAACTCAAATGTGAAATTGCAGAACTACTAGGTGTGGTATGTAACTTATCGTTTAAATCTGCTTCTGTACCAGATGACTAGAGCAGTGGTTCCCAACCTTGTTCCGCGGCTTGTGCGGGGAAATCCCCCTGGCGGGCCGGGCCGGTTTGTTTACCTGTCGTGTCCGCAGGTTCGGCTGATCGCGGCTCCCAGTGGCCGCGGTTCACTGTTCCAGGCCAATGGGAGCTGCTGGAAGCAGCGTGGGCCGAGGGATGTACTCGCTGCCGCTTCCAGCAGCTCCCATTGGCCTGGAGCAGCGAACTGCGGCCACTGGGTGCCGCGATTGGCCAAACCTGCGGACGCGACAGGTAAACAAACCGCCCCGGCCCGCCAGGGGCTTTCCCCGCACAAGCGGCGGAACAAGTTTGGGAACCACTGGACGAGAGGATGGCTAATATGACGCCAATTTTGAAAAAGGGCTCCAGAGTGAGCATGTGGCCCAAGGGGATCCAGCGGATATAATGTACTTAGATTGCCAGAAAGCCTTTGACAAAGTCCCTCACCAAAGGCTCTTACGCAAAGTAAGCTGCCACGGGATAAGAGGGAAGGTGCTCTCATGGATTGGTAACTGGTTAAAAGATAGGAAACCAAGGGTAGGTATAAATGGTCAGTTTTCAGAATGGAGAGAGGTAAATAGCGGTGTCCCCTAGGGGCCTGTTCTGGGACCAGTCCTATTCAGCATATTCATAAATGATCTGGAAAAAGGGGTAAACAGTGAGGTGGCAAAATTTGCAGATGATACAAAATTACTAAAGATAGTTAATACCCAGGCAGACTGCGAAGAGCTACAAAAGGATCTCTCAAAACTGGGTGACTGGGCAACAAAATGGCTGATGACATTTTATGTTGATAAATGCAAAGTAATGCAGATTGGAAAGCATAATCCCAACTATACATATAAAATGATGGGGTCGAAATGAGCTGTTACTACTCAGAAAAGAGATCTTCGAGTCATTGTGGATAGTTCTCTGAAAACATCCACTCAATGTGCAGCGGCAGTCAAAAAAGCGAACAGAATGCTGTGAATAATTAAGAAAGGGATAGATAATAGGACAGAAAATATCATGTTGCCTCTATATAAATCCATGGTACGCCCACATCGTGAATACTGTGTGCAGATGTGGTTGCCCCATCTCAAAAAAGAGATACTGGAATTGGAAAAGGTTAGAAAAGGGCAACAAAAATGATTAGGGGTATGGAATGGCTTCTGTATGAGGAAAAGATTAATAAGACTGGGACTTTTCAGCTTGGAAAAGAGATGGCTAAGGGGAGATATGATTGAGGTCTATAAAATCATGACTGGTGTAGAGAAAGTAGATAAGGAAGTGTTGTTTACTACTTCTCATAACACAGGAACTAGGGGTCCCCCAATGAAATTAATAGGCAGCAGGTTTAAAACCAATAAAAGGTAGTATTTCTTCACACAATGCACAGTTAACCTGTGGAACTCCTTTCCAGAGGATGTTGTGAAGGCCAAGACCATAAGAGGGTTCAAAAAAGAACTAGATACATTCATGGAGGATAGGTCCATCAATGGCTATTAGCCAGGATGGGCAGGAATAATGTCCCTAGCCTCTGTTTGCCAGAAGCTGGGAATGGGTGACAGGGGATGGATCACTTGATGATTCTCTGTTCTGTTCATTCCCTCTGGGGCACCTGGCACTGGCCACTGTACGAAGACAGGATCCTGGGCTAGAAGGACCTTTAGTCTGACCCAGTAGGGCCATTCTTTTGTTCTTAATGCCGTGACCCCCCCTAAAATAACCTTGTGATGCCCCCCTGTGTCAGGACCCCCAATTTGAGGAAGGCTGGTCTCCCCTGTGAAATCTGTATAGTATAAGGTAAAAGCACACAAAAGTGCAGATTTCATGGGGGGAGACCAGATTTCATGGTCCGTGACGCGTTTTTCATGGCCGTGAATTTGGTAGGGCCCTACTCATGGGGATATGACACCTCCTACCTACAGCCCTGACCTGGGTGAGATGAGAAAGAACTGGGGGAGCTCGCTCACAAACCCCGCTTTTGCCTTCACTTACCAGGCTGTTTCTGTGTCAGTCTCCCTGATTCCTCACCTGGGCAGGCGCCTCTCCGGATCTGCCTTCTCTCAGGCGCTTGGAGATCTGGGACCCACGGCTCCTTCCCTTGTTGCAAACGGAAGATCAGGTCAGGTTTGGGAAGGGGCAGTCCTGCTCAAGGGGCAAAATCAGGGCGTGTCATGCATTGGGAGAGGATTTGTGACAAAGAAAATCCCTTTCATTTTTAACCTGACCCTGGGCTGTACTAGGGGGATGTGAAATCTGAACAGATGGGAACATGGTCACTGAGTCACCATGGGAGAAGCAGACAACGGTGGGAGGAACGAGTTACGTCCTCAGCAGGACTTTCCAGGATCTGTGCGCCTTGGGAGGACTTATTGACGAACACACAGCTCTGGTGTTAAAAATCTGTCTCTTTCTGAACCAGCAGAGCCCAGAGCCCCTCCCCACGGATGGAGCTAGTCCCAGGAAGGGAGGGGAACAGAGATGCTGAGTGTGTGTGAGTGAGACTTAATACAGGCAGGTCAACACGCTGCTTCAGGGCATAAATCCAAAACTAGAGGGATGAGAATGAATTAGCAGCTCCCTAGTATCTCTCAATCCCGCATTCATGGGAGGTGACGTGCAGGTAAAAGTGTCTCTCATGCTGGATCGTGAGACCATGGAGCCCATTCCCATGAAGTCAAACTGAGCAGGAAAGAACCTGACCTGCCTGGGCACACCACGGACCCCATGGCTTCTAATAATTGAGGGGACGGAAATCCCTTACCCAGCGAGGTCACCGTCTCGTAGTTCTCCTGCATGACGTCCCTGTAGAGGGCTCTCTGAGCGGGGTCCAGCAGAGCCCCCTGCCCCTGGGTGAAATACACAGCCACCTCCTCAAAGGTCACTGGCCCCTGAAACAGCAAGAGACCCCCACTCAGCACCTGCTGCCCCAGCCACAATCCCACTAGTCACAGTGGAGGAGGGCCGATAAAATGGAAGCTCTGGGGGCTCTCAGAGGAGCAGAATCCCACCCCGACCCTGCTCAGAGCAGCCAGGAGGCTTCAGGGTGGGGAGAAAGAGAGAGCTCCTTGTCCCTCCCAGCCGATGGAGGAGAGCAGGGGCCCTCCCGTTTATCACACACTTACTAGCCAGAGGCTGATACAGGAGGTCGAGCTCCTCAGCAGGGTCGAGGGACATGAATCCCAACCCCTTTCCCATTCCCAGTAGCTGGGGGTGAGGGGACGGGGCCTCACCACTGAGTGCCCCCTTCGTATTTCACAGCAGCCCCTGGCTAGTAGGTTCAGGCTCCAACACCGGGACTCTGGTCCGTTTTCCCAGCCCCATCCGGAGGGGTTGTTGCCTGTTCCAGCAATAGGAGAATTTCTACCTTCCCCCCAAAGGGCCTGTTCTGAAAATCGGGTCCCAGGCAGAACGCGTCCCAGGTGGCTTGTCACACCCTGTCCCCCTCCCTTCCTCTTCCAGCGTATTTCCTACCCCTTCCCTTCTAGCTCACACCCACCAGCAGCTCCCAGAAAACCCCACACCTAAGCTGGCCCTGCTGCAGCCAGTTCTCCTCCTCAGGGGATGGGGAAGAGGCGGGCGACCAGCAGCGAAACCACCCCTGAGCTCGGAAACCTTACTTCCCCTTCACCCTCACCCTGAGGATTCCTTGGGCGACACAGCCTCCAGGGACCCCTCGGAGACGGCTGCTCCGTCTGGCACCAGCGTGCCAATGCCCCTGGCAAGAAGACCCCCTCCCCCGACTCCTAATACACCCGCTACAGAATTTGGTGCTGAAATGCTCCTTCTCCTCGTACCACAGCGAAAAGTCCTCCCCGCCCGCTCCGGCTCACCCCTCCACCCTTCAGCACAGCTGCGCCCGATGCAACGAATGCAGCTGGAGAGCATGCAGAACACGGCTGGAACTCAAAGAGGTGGAACACCATACAAACAGTGGCATGACCGCTTAGCCCCTCCTCTTGTCCATTTATTACGGCAACATATCACTGAGCCACCCCCAGAAGCTATTTAAGAACATAAGAATGGCCCTACTGGGTCAGACCAAAGGTTCATCTAGCCAAGTGTCCTGTCTTCGGACAGTGGCCAGTGCCAGGTGCCCCAGAGGATGAACAGAACAGGGAATCATCAAGTGATCCATCCCCTGTCACCCAGTCCCAGCTTCTGGCAAACAGAGGCTAGGGACACAATCCCCGCCCATCCTGGCTAATAGCCATTGATGGACCTATCCTCCATGAATTTATCTAGCTCTTTCTTGAACCCTCTTATGGTCTTGGCCTTCACAACATCCTCTGGCAAGGAGTTCCACAGGTTGACTGTGCGATGTATGAAGAAATACTTCCTTTTATTTGTTTTAAACCTGCTGCCTATAAATTTCATTGGGGGACCCCTAGTTCTTGTGTTATGAGAAGTAGTAAACAACACTTCCTTATCTACTTTCTCTACACTAGTCATGATTTTATAGACCTCCATCATATTCCCCCCTTAGCAGTCTCTTTTCCAAGCTGAAAAGTCCCAGTCTTATTAATCTCTCCTCATACCGAAGTCGTTCCATATCTCTAATAATTTTGGTTGCCCTTTTCTGAACCTTTTTCAATACCAAGGTATCTTTTTTGAGATGGGACGACCACATCAGCACACAGTATTCAAGATGTGGGCGTACCATGGATTTATATAGAGGCAACATTATATTTTCTGTCCTATTATCTATCCCTTTCTTAATTATTCACAGCATTCTGTTCGCTTTTTTGACTGCTGCTGCACATTGAGTGGATGTTTTCAGAGAACTATCCACAATGACTCCAAGATCTCTTTCTTGAGTGGGGACAGCTCATTTCGACCCCATCATTTTATATGTATAGTTGGGATTATGTTTTCCAATGTGCATTACTTTGCATTTATCAACATTAAATTTCATCTGCCATTTTGTTGTCCAGTCACCCAGTTTTGAGAGATCCTTATGGAGCTCTCCACAGTCTGCCTGGGTCTCAACTATCTTTAGTAATTTTGTATCATCTGCAAATTTTGCCACCTCACTGTTTACCCCTTTTTCCAGATCTTTTATGAATATGTTGAATAGGACTTGTCCTAGAACAGACCGCTGGGGGACACCGCTATTTACCTCTCTCCACTCTGAAAACTGACCATTTATACCTACCCTTTGTTTCCTATCTTTTAACCAGTTATCAATCCACGAGGGCAACTTCCCTCTGATCCTGTGGCAGCTTACTTTGCGTAAGAGCCTTTGGTGGGACAAAGGGACTTTGTCAAAAGCTTTCTGAAAATCTAAGTACACTATATCCACTGCATACCCTTGGGCCACACGCTTGTTGACCCCCTCAAAGAATCCTAGTAGATTGGTGAGGCATGATTTTCCTTTACTAAAACCATGTTGGCTCTTCCTCAACAAATTATGTTCATCTATATTTCTGACAATATTGTTCTTGATTATAGTTTCAACCAGTTTGCCCGGTACTGAAGTCAGGCTTACAGGCCTGTAATTGCCGGGATCACCTCTGGAGCCCTTTTTAAAAATTGGCTCACATTAGCTATCCTCTAGTCATCTGGTACAGAAGCTGATTTAAATGATACGTTACAGACTACAGTCAAAACAACGAGGAGTCCTAACAAATTTATTTGGGCATAAAATTTTGTGGGCTAGAACCCACTTCATCAAATGCATGGAGTGGAAAATACAGGAGCAGGTATAAATACACAGCACATGAAAAGATGTGCCAGCAATGCCCCTCTGCCTTGTCCATTGGCCAAACCTGACAGTCTCTATGCAAAAGAATAAATGGACACAAATCTGACATCAGGAATTATAACATTCAAAAACCAGTAGGAGAGCACTTCAATCTCCCTGGACACTCAATAGCAGACCTAAAAGTGGCAATTCTTCAGCAAAAAAACTTCAAAAACAGACTCCAACGCGAAACTGCAGAACTGGAATTAATTTTCAAACTGCACACCATCAAATTAGGCCTGAATAAAGACTGGGAGTGGTTGGGTCATTACAAAACCTAATTTCCCCCATACTAATTTCCCACTACTGTTACTCACACCTTCTTGATCGACAGAGCCAGAAGAGTACCCAGAAGTCACCTACTACAGGACAGGCCCAACAAAGAAAATAACAGAACGCCACTAGCCATCACCTTCAGCCCCCAACTAAAACCTCTCCAACGCATCATCAAGGATCTACAACCTATTCTGAAGGATGACCCATCACTCTCACAGATCTTGGGAGACAGGCCAGTCCTTGCCTACAGACAGCCCCCCAACCTGAAGCAAATACTCACCAGCAACCACACACCATACAACAGAACCACTAACCCAGGAACCTATCCTTGCAACAAAGCCCGTTGCCAACTGTGCCCACATATCTATTCAGGGGACACCATCATAGGGCCTAATCACATCAGCCACACTATCAGAGGCTCATTCACCTGCGCATCTACCAATGTGATATATGCCATCATGTGCCAGCAATGCCCCTCTGCCATGTACATTGGTCAAACTGGACAGTCTCTACGTAAAAGAATAAATGGACACAAATCAGACGTCAAGAATTATAACATTCAAAAACCAGTCAGACAGCACTTTAATCTCTTTGGACACTCGATTACAGACCTAAAAGTGGCAATTCTTCAACAAAAAAACTTCAAAAACAGACTCCAACGAGAGACTGCTGAATTGGAATTAATTTGCAAACTGGATACAATTAACTTAGGCTTGAATAAAGACTGGGAGTGGATGGGTCATTACACAAAGTAAAACTATTTCCCCATATTTATCTGCCCCCCCACCCGCCCGCTGTTCCTCAGACATTCTTGTCAACTGCTGGAAATGGCCCACCTTGATTATCACTACAAAAGGTCGCCCTCAACCCGCTCTCCTGCTCGTAATAGCTCACCTTACCTGATCACTCTCGTTACAGTGTGTATGGTAACACCCATTGATTCATGTTCTCTGTGTAGATAAATCTCCCCACTGTATTTTCCACTGAATGCATCCGATGAAGTGAGCTGTAGCTCACGAAAGCTTATGCTCAAATAAATTTGTTAGTCTCTAAGGTGCCACAAGTCCCCCTTTTCTTTTTGCGGATACAGACTAACACGGCTGCTACTCTGAAACCTGTCACACCTTCTTGTCAACTGTTTGAAATGGGCCACTCTCATTACCACTATAAAAGTGATTTTTCCTTCCTTGGTATCCTACTGTTAATTGAGTTGTCTCGTTAGACTGACCTCCCACTTGGTAAGGCAACTCTCACCTTTTCATGTGCTGTGTTTTTATACCTGCTACTGTATTTTCCACTCCACGCATCTGATGAAGTGGATTCTAGCCCACGAAAGCTTATGTCCAGATAAATTTGTTAGTCTCTAAGGTGCCACAAGGACTCCTTGTCGTTTTTGCTGATACAGACTAACATGGCTACCACTCTGAAACCAGACTAGAGTCAGTGGTTCTGCAATTTCACATTTGAGTTCCTTCAGACCTCTTGGGTGAATCCCATCTGGTCCTGGTGACTTATTGCTGTTTAATTTACCAATTTGTTGCAAAACCTCCTCTAATGATACCTCAATCTGGGACAGTTCCTCAGATCTGTCACCTAAAAAGAATGGCTCAGGTTTGGGAATCTCCCTCACCTCTTCTGCCGTGAAGACCCATGCAAAGAATTCATTTAGTTTCTCTGCAATGGCCGTATCGTCCTTGAGTGCTCCTTTAGCATCTTGATCGTCCAGCGGCCCCACCGGTTGTTTAGCAGGCTTCCGGCTTCTCATGTACTTAAAAAACATTTTGCTATTTCTTTTTGAGTCTTTGGCTAACTGTTCCTCAAATTCTTTTTCGGCTTTCCTAATTTTATTTT